CCACCTTGGGGGGAGGGGAAGTGGGAGGAAAAGAAAAATAATTGGAAAAAAATTAATTTAAAAAAAGAATGAAAAAGGACTCCTGAGTGATAGCCTTCTTCTTCCCATTCAGATCTTTCCTTTGAAAGCAAGGATCTTTTGTCTGCTTGGGATTCTTAATCAATGAATAAGGTTTCCATATTTTGTTGGGGCTACACTCTCATTTGTACCAAAACCCCAAGCCCCACCAATTCATAGCACATTCTATGTTCCCTTTTCTTGTTCAGTTCTTGTCCGTGTCTTTAAATATGGAGCTATATGTATACAAAGGTTCTATGAACCTGCTGGTAGCCTTCTTATAGTTCTTTTAATTAGGAAATACAATAATAATCTCTTTTATCATGACAGTTATAGAAGTAGTTGGTAGACAGAGTTCTAGGCTGAAGTCAGTAATACTTGAATTCAAATCCAGCCTGTTAGATGTGTGACCCTGGGCAAGTCACTTACTTGTAAAATTGGGGATAATAATAGCACCTATCTCTTAGGGTTGTTGTGAGGATCATATAAGATAAGATTTGTAAAAAGCACTTAACAGTGCCTGATATATAGTGTGCTATATAAATACTTATTCCCTTCCTTTCCTTATTGTGAGCTTTCAAGCTCATTTGATCTTCACATCACCCCCGAGATAGGGGTGTCAAGCACTGGTTCTAGCTGCGACTGACACCAATGAGTTGTTCGATCTTAAGCAAGTCACTTGACCCCTATGGACCTCAGTTTCTGCTTCTTTGAAAAAATGGTATGGAGCAGATGATCTCTCAGGTTTCTTCCAGCTCTGAAATTAGTTACTCTACTTTCCCATTTTACAGATGAACAAAACTGATGCCCATAGAGGGAAAGAGACTAATCAAAACTCACAGAGCAAATCATTAGCAGAATCGAGCCTGCAGCACAGGCCTCCTGATCCTTAGCCAATTGTTCTTTTTGTTCAAAGTTTCAATAAAATAACTAACTCTTTGCCAATGCTCATGGAGCACATAATAGACCTGGTTCCCGAGTCTTTTTTTTTTTAAACCTTTCCTCCACTCACAGGAAGTTAGGGTGAATCACATCCCGCCACCATCTCACATGCAAGATAACAGCATCCACTTTGTTCTTTCTACTTACTCTTCCCTTGCCAGAGCAGAGCTCTTAGAGAGTTCATAACCTGCCTCCCTGTTGACTATTTCAATAACTAACATTTAATAACAATGAGCTGGGCTCTAAGAAAGAGGGAAAGGAAGAAAAGAAAAAAAGGAAAGAAGGAAGGAAAGAAGGAAGAAAAGAAAAGGAAGGAAGAAAGAAGGAAGGAAGGAAACAAGGAAGGAAATAAGGAAGGAAACAAGGAAGGAAGGAAGAAAAAAAAAAAAGGAAGAAAGGGACGAAAGAAGGAAGGAAAGAAGGAAGGAATGAAATAAGGAAGGAAGGAAACAATGAAGGAGGGAAGGGAGGGAGGGAAAGAAGGAAGAAAAGTAACAAGCATTTATTAAGCTCTTGCTATGTGCCAAGCACTTTAAAATATCTCATTTGATCCTCATGGCAACCCTGTGAGGCTGAAGAAACTGAGATAGACTTGCCCAGAGTGATGCAGCTAATAAGTGTTGGAAGCTGGATTTGAATTCGGGTCTTCCAGGCCCAAAGCTCTATCTGATGGTGATGGTTGAACTTTTAAGCAGCCACCATAAACCTGTCTGCTTCACTATTGTGGCAATGCTTTCAAACACTCTTTATTATTGCAACATTTTATGTCCTGTGGCTAGTCTCTCTCTGTAATATCTAAAAAGATGTATTCACACATACTTGGCTTCTCCTCCAGCCTTAGCAAATGGGAATAATCGATTAAAATGGGGGCAATTTCAGCTTAGGCCTAAGTCATTAGAAATGTACGGCCCATTTCAACAAGATAATTCGCCTTCCTAGGGAAGAAAGACATTCTTAGATAGCTCAGAAAGTATACCACCTACCCAAGGCTCATTCCTTGAATAGGCAGAGAGAGCAGCCCCCTCAATGGCCATGATTTTGAAGGTTAGAAATAAGAAGCCTTTCCCCCAAATATGAATTCTGTCATTCCTTTCTTCCTTTTGTTCTTGAATTTTAAAAAAATTTCCATGTCAGTCATTTGTAAAAGAAAACATAGACAAAAAAAAAAACTAAGAAAAATAAAGAAAGAAAAAAGTATACTTTGATCTGCATTCAAATTCCATCAGTTCTTTATCTGGAGGTGGATGGCATTTTTATCATGAGTCCTTCAGAATCGTCTTAGAATCTAAGACATTGTGAATCTAAGATTATTGTATTGCTGAGAATAGCTAAGTCATTCACAGCTCATCATCACACAGTATTGTTGTCACTATGTACAATGTTCTTCTGGTTCTGCTCATTTCACTCAGTTCATTTAAGTTTCATTCTGAAACCATCTTGCTCATCATTTCTTACAGCACAATAGTATTCCATTACATTCATATACCACGACTTGTTCAGCCATTCCCCAATTGATGGTCATCCTCTCAATTTCCAATTTTTTGCTACCACTAAAAGAACTGCTATAAATATAGGTCCTTTTTCTTTTTTGTTTTCTAATCTCTTTGGGATACAGACCCAGTAGTGCTATTGCTGGGTCAAAGTGTATCCACAATTTTGCAGCCCTTTGGGCATAGTTCCAAATTGCTCTCCAGAATGGTTGGATCAATTCACAACTTCACTAATAGCGCATTAGTGTCCCAATTTTCTCACATCCACTCCACATTTGTCATTTTCCTTTTTTGTCATGTTAGCCAATCCTGATAAGTATGAGGTGGTACGTCACAGTTGTTTTATTTTGCATTTCTCCAGTCAATAATGATTTAGAGCATTTTTTTAATATGACTATAGATAGCTTTGACTTCATCTGGAAACTACCTGTTCATATCCTTTGGCTATCAATTGGGGGAATGACTTGCATTCTTATAAATTTGACTCCGTTCTCTATGTATTTGAGAAATTAGGCTTTTATCAAAAGAACTTGCTATTAACACCCCCCCATCCCCCCACAGTTTTCTGCTTTCCTTCTAATCTAGGCTGCTTTGGTTTTGTTGTTCTTGAACTTTTAAGAAGCAACTGTAAAAATGCAAATACCCCTGGAAAGTGAACACCTATCTTATTGGCTGTTATAAGTTGGTAGCTGACAGAAGTGAAAGGAACTTCAGCAGATATCTAATCCAACCTGTATCTGACCAAGAATAAGGATCCACAGGCCTCTCCTTGAAAACCTCCAGGGAACAGGAACCTACTTGTCACAAAGTAACTCATTCTCCTTTTGGAAGGATCCAATTGTTAGGAAGCTTTTCCTAATATGAAGCAAAACTCTGCTTTTCTGAATCTTCCACCTATTTTTTTTACATCTGCTCTCCAGGATCAAGTAAACCAAGGTAAGCCCCTCTTCCACATGACTGTCCTTCAAATATTTAAACATAGCTTATTATGTTCCCCATTAAGGCCTTTCTTCTCCATACTAAACATTATCAGTTCCTTCAATCTTCCACTGTCTTCAATGACTCCATTCTCATATAGTAGAAACTGCAGGTCTTTTACCATCCTGGGCATCCTTCTCTGGATGCACTCTGGCTTATCAACACCCTTCTCAAAATGCGGCACCCCAAAATAAGCACAATACTTCAGATATGATCTGTTTATGGTAGGGAGCAGTACACCCGCCATTAACCATGTCCTGGAAACTATGCCTGTTTTAATGCAGCATAGTCTAGTGCTGGTCTGTAGGGCTGCCATGTCATACACTATTGGCTCATTGAGCTCAGTGCTTGCTAAAACCATCAATATCTTATTCAAAGGGATTGTCATCTAGCTAATTCTCGCCCCCAACCCTGGATAATCCATCCAAGTCATTGATAAAAATTATTGAAGTGAAGAAGGAAGGACAAACCCTGGGGCATTTCACTGGAGACTTCCCTACTTGTTGGATCTGGTTATTTAGTGCTGAATCTACATGACTATTACTGTGAAATAGAAAACATCTTTCCATCTTTCCATGCACCAACTAATGTGTATTTATTAAGCACCTAGTATGTTTCAAGGGCTAAGGATGAAAATACAAAGAATAAACTAGCTCCTACTTGCCAGGAGCCCACGTTCTAGTGGTGGAGACAAGTACACACACACACACACACACACACACACACACACACACACACACACACACACATGCATACACCCCTATATCTATTTATATCTATATATGTATGCATATGTATAATATAAACACATATAAGTATGTATGTGCATATGTATGTTCATACATCAAACAAATTTAAGAAAAATAAATGAAAATAAATACAAAGCAGTTAAATGGAAGGTAGTTTGGGAGGGAGCCTACTAGCAATTGTGATCAGGTAAGGCTTCATGTGTAAGGTGGTGCTTAAGTAAAGAGAGATTCAGTCAGACAGAGCTGAGGACAGAGGGCATTCTTGGAATGGGGTATAGCCAGTAGAAAGGCAGGGAGATGGGAGATGGGTGATGGATTTTTATGTGTGAAGAATAAAAAGATGGCTGGGGCCAAATTGTAAAGGGCATTAAAAGCTAAACAGAGGAGTTTCTATTTGATCCTGGAGTCAATTGGACTCTGCTGGAGTTATATGCTCTGATTTGCCCTTGAGGAAAGTCACTTTGGCAGCAGTGTGCAAGATTAACTGGAGTGGGGAGAGATTGGAGAGATAGAGACAAATATTTGAATACAAGTGTGGAATTTGATATTTATTCCAAATAGATTTCATTGTTTTAAGCTCAGCCCATTGTTCTAGCCAGTTCAGAACTTTGGGGATCCTGACTTTGTCACCTAATACATTAACTAACCCTCACAGCTTCATGTCATATGCAGATATGGTATGCATACCATCTATGCCTCCATCCAAGTCATTGATGAAGATATTGAACTGTGCAGAAGAAAGGACAAAGTCTTGGAGCATTTCATTGGAAACTTCTCCGCTTTTTGGGTCTGGTCATTTGCTGCTGAATCTATCAGATTATTACTGTGAACATGTCCACATGTTTCCATCTTGTCTGCAAGGACAGAATGAGTAATTTTTTTTCAAATACTTTGCTGAAATCTAGAAATACATCTACAATACTCTCCTGATCTACCAAGTCTAGTGATGCTGTCACTGAAGGAAATGAGGTTAATTGATATGATCTTTTCTTCATGAAGCTATGTTGGCTCTCACCAATTCCCTTCTCAATACTCACAAACTATCCCTTTAAAAAATATGTTCCACTATACTCAAAGAACTATAAAATTGTCCATATCCTTTGATTTACTGCTAAGTCTATATCCCAAAGACATAAAAAAGGGGAAAGGACTTATCCATACAAAAACTGTTTGTAGAAGCTCTTTTTGTGATGGCTAAGAACTAGAAATTGAGGAGATGCTCATCAACTGGGGAATGGCTAAACAAATTATTGTATATGATTGTGGTGGAATATTATTGTACTTTAAGAAATGACAAGCAGGAAATTTCAGAAAAACCTGGAAAGACTTACACAAACTGATGCAAAGTGAAGTGAGCAGAACCAGGAGAACATTGTACACAGTAACAGCAATATTGTATGATAAAGAATTGTGAATGACTTAGCCATTCTCAGCCCTACAATGATCCAAGACAATCTCAAAGGACTAAGAGAAAGAACTGAAATTGACCAAATACAGATTAAAGCATGCTATTTTTTGCTTTCTTTCCTTCTTTTTCTTTTATTTGCATCTTTTTGTACAAAATGACTAATATGGAAATGTTTACATGATTATACATGTATAACCTATATCTAATTGTTTACTCTCTTGAGGGTGGGTGTAGGGGGAAGGAAGAGTGAGAGAGAAGGATAGAATTTAGAACTCAAAACTTTTTTAAAAAGTTAAAAATTGTTTTAACATGTAATTGGGGAAAAAGAAAATATTATGTATTAAAAAATTGTTTCCAGAACTTTGTCAGGACAAAAAAATTAAACTTCACAAAAAAGAAAACATTTATCCTTTTCTAGTATCATGGCCCTTTGCCCATTCTCCACCATTTCTTAGAAATCAACAGTGATTCACTAATCATAACTATTCATTTTTTTCAACATATGGCTCATCTGGGCCTGGTGACTTAAACTCATTGGAGGCAGCTAAGTATTTTCTTCCCATTTTCTAACTTATCTGGGGTTTTACTTCTCTCATAACCCTATTAAAATCATTTTCCCTGTCTAAATATCATTCCCTTTGAGAAAACAAAAGTAAAATCAGAGTTAAGTAGTTCGAGCATCTCTAGATACCCATTTCATCATCCTATCCTCAAGCAGCTGTCTTCTCATTCCTTCTTTCATCTTCCCCTTAAATGCAGCTTTAAAAAAGTTCATGTTATTATTTGTAGCATTTATCACTAGCCTAAATTCATTCTAGATTTTGAGCCTTCTGACCATAGGGCATTTTGTCTATTATCTATTTTTGTTTTCATCTTCTATGCCCGTTCCTTTTTAAAAATAAAATGTTTTACTGATGCCCTTAGTTGACATGTGCCTTTAAAAAATCTAAATTATTTAAGATACTTCTGTGGAGTCACTTTAGATAGCTTCCTCTTTTCTTCCCTTATTGGAACAATTTCTGTTTGTCTTTTGAATGTCATACTTGTAAACTTTAGCTAACCCCTGCTCTAGAATTTTAGGCCATAAAATGCTTCCTGTCCTTTGTTGAAACTCTCTGAAATATGCTCTCCCCACATGAGATTAAGCCTGGATTTCGTCTCCCCCATTTTGAATTTCAAGATGGGAGTGGTTACTTGACCCCTGATGATGGTCCCATCATTCCACTTTTGCTTCTTATTCTTCCTTGGTGGAGAGAATCAAGCCTAAAAGAGCAGTTTTCTCTCATCATTTCATTTACCTTTTGAAGGATAAAATGACCATGATAGTATCTCATTATTTTCTGCTTTTAGCAAAGAAAGAGCTCCACTAGATATTTGAATAATTGAAATCGCCCATCATTACTGCATCTTGCCTCAATTCAAGGTTAATTCCACAAATTCTTCATCTAATTTCTGCTTCTGCCTAGGTGGTCTTTAGTGGAGTCCTACAACAATATAACTTCTATTTCTCTCTCCACTGATTCTTATCTCAATATTACTACATCTACCTGTTTCCTTCCTTGGTTCTGACACCTCTACATTTATTCAAGAACAGTTACAAAACATCCACCTGGGCCCTTAAGTTCTTCAGTATCCCACTCTGCAGGACACCCAAATTCTCATCACTGTTTTCTACATATCTTCTAGTAGTGTGATTTTTTTCCTCATGTGCATTATTTAATTTTTAATTATTTAATATTTAATTAATATTTTCTATTCCCATAATCCTGTATCTGTTAAAAGCACTTTTGCACTTATTTATTGGTACTTATGAGATCAAATTACTTCATATGATCCTCACACCATCCCTATGAAGTAGGCAGACACTGTATTATTATTATTATTATTATTATTATTATTATTATTATTATTATTATTATTTCCATTTTGTGGGTAAGGAAAGTAAGGGTCAGAGAGTTTATGTTAGTTGTTTTAGGTCATACAGCTAATAAATCATAGAGCCCAGATAAGAACGTAGATTAGAATCATCTGATTCTTAGTTCAGTGCTCTTTCCATTGTACCAAAGCTATTTCTATAAGATATTAACCTTCGCGAGATTGAGTTAGGAGCAAGTCCATATGTTTAGCAACTGAACTGGGTCTCCAGATGTACACAAGACACACTTTCAAGTTTAATCGGCATTATTAACATTTCCTCAAGCCTAAACAATCAAAGAATCAATAAATTAGCCCTGATTTGTATCATTTGCTGATTTCTTAGGTGTTAATACTCACATTAAAAATTTAACAATTGTAGGGTAAGAGATGTCTCCCGTAAGTCCCTGGTTAGGAAGGTCTTAGGAAAAGAAGTGAATACATTAAAGATATCTGAGGTAGGATAGGGGAGAGACTAAGAAAGAAGAAAGGAGGGACTGAGAAAGGAGAAAGGAGGTGGAAGGTCTATCACTGCTGGGAGTGTATTAAACTAATTAATACTAAAATGCTGGTGGCTTACTATATCTGCTTTACTTCTACCTGGTTCTAAGTAGAGAGTACTGGGTACGTTTGTGAGGATGAAACTTGGAAAAGATACTTAAAGAAAAAGGGAAGGCAAGATAGGGGCCAAGCCCTCATCCCTCCCAATGCACACGAGATCTTAGGATTTAAGAGCTAGAAGAAACCTTAAAGATTATCTTCCAATTCTTTCATTTTACAGATGAGGAAATTGAGACTCACAGAGATTAAATGATTTGCTTAGTACAGAATATTTTATAGATTTTTGAGGGAAAAAGATGGCACTTAATAGATATTAGATGCTTGAAGTAAATTGGATTGTCCAAACTCATGTACACAGAGGTAGCAAATGGCAGAGCTGGGATTCAAACCCAGATCCTCTACATTAAATCCACTAGTCTTTTTGCCAATATCAGGTTGTCAGTTTTCAACATTCTCTCTTCCTGAAGCATCAGTCTTCTTATTTCTTCTTTCATCTTTCCTTTGCCCTTATAGTAACTAAAAAATTTATTTTGCTATCTATAACATTTATCCCTCATCTAAGTTCATTCTAGAATTTAACCCTTCAGACCATATTTTCAAAGGGCCGGTAAAAATATCATTGGCTTTTTCCTTCAAGGCTCTGTACTTCTGAGTGCCTATATTGCCCCCATCTTCACCATTCCCATGCCCTCCAAAAAAGGAATATGTGTGTTGGGGAGGGTCAGGGTGGTTATTAGTAGAGTGTGTTCTCTGACAGAATCTACTACTCTCTCAGGCCCTTGGAAAGTGGAAGGGCAGGTGGAGAAAAAGGAGCATATTGGGCAGAAGTGCCCTGAGTCCCCAGATAATCAGCCTTGGTTTTGTTTCCAGACTAGCTCTAAGGTAGATGCCCAGCAATGATTAGGAAAACTGTAAGATCTTGAATGTTTTAAATAATTTCTATTCCCTGTCTTTCACAGCCTATTTTTTTCTCTTTTCTCCTTCTCTCCTCTTTTCTCCCCTCATGCCCATCTTTCTCCCTCCCTCTCCCATCCCTCATTTCTTCCCACAACTATGCAAAATTGGTTTTCACTCAGAACTTTGGGGAAAACCCTATTCTTCAGAATGAAATTGGGGTGGGGGTGTAAATGCTATAAGGAAATAGGATGAAAACAAATTTGGGGTGAACCACCAAGACAGAACAGTTTCTCCAGATTAGTCACCAACTTGCCAATAACTTTCCCACCCCCTCCCCCCAACCTGTCTCTTCACTCAGGGTTATTTTGGAAGGTTAACGGAGAGAAACGGAGCCCTGCTTGGTCACAGACATTTTCAAAATAACCACACCAAGGTTAGCATGTGAGGTGGGGGCTTCCCTCTCTATTTTTTTTAAAATATGCTAAATTGTTTCTACTTCCTGTCAGCTCTGCTTAGATAATTAAAGGTTTAGAAACATCTGTGACAGGATCAGGCAAGGTGAAGGAAAAAACATTTTGAAGTCAGCAAAATGCCTTTGGGAACCTTCCCACCTCCCTTTTCTGCCTTCTGCTTTCTTCCCTCTTGTTTCTCCAGTACTTTCCATTGGCCCCTCCCCCTCAGCTCCCCCAACCAGGAACCCTGTGCAAAGCTCCCAAAGGGCCCTACTCTCAGTTGGCTCTTAATACCCCCCAAAATATGGTAGCCGATAATTTAAATTGTTATCCTTCCCACAGTTTTTTACAGAAGAAAATAAAAATTTCAAGATCCACAGAACCAGATTCCTAGTATCAGAATTTCCCACATTATAGCATGTTGGTGGGGGGTGGGGGTGGGGAGGGTTTAGCACACGGGATGTTTATGGATTAGGTAATGTCCCACCTAATGGTGTTCAAGCCACATCATTCATTCTGCCTCTTCACCTCTCAAATCACTTGGCATAAGTTCCAATATGTACACCCAGCCCAAGAGCATATGCTTCTTTAGGGCAGGGCATGCTTCATGTTTGCCTTTGTG